CATTATAAACACAAAGATATTTCATGCCAGTTGGTTTATTACTCATTGAAAGAAAACGGGGCACTTAAGTGGCTAAAATTAGTTTGTTGTTGTTGTCACCCCCTCCCACCTTTCCCCCAGTCCAAGACTCAAGGCAGCTTACAAATGTTAAAACAGATACAGCTAAAAAAATGACAGCCACTGTGGTATAGTGGCTTGAGCACTGGACTATGACTCTGGATACCAGGTCTGAATTCCTACTCAGCCATGGAAACCCACTAGGTGAACTTGGGCAAGTAATATGCTTTCAGTCTCATAGGAGGGCCATGGAAAACTCTCTCTGAACTAATCTTGCCAAGAAAACCCTGTGATAAGTCTTCTTAGGGTCACCACCATCATTGTCATCATCATCATCATCACCAATAATTTTTATTTCTCCCCCCCCCCGCAAGGTTTGAGGCAGCATACAACATGTTAACATACAAAACACAATTAAAAAGAAAACATAAAACCAACAGATGAAATATAATATTATAAAACCATTAAAATACCCTCATATAATACATTCTTTAAAATATACCAATTAAAAATCATGATTTTGAATTGACTGGGTAAGCCTGCCAGAAGAGATGTGTCCTTACTGTTGTTTTAAACACTGCCAGCATTTTCAGCTGTTGTATCTCTTCTGGCAGGTCATTCTATGTCACACACACTTTTCATTTGTGGCCATACGATGGACCCTTTTCATTCCACAGCTGCCACCCCCCTATGCAAAGAGCCACTCCATCACCAACCTTCTCTACTTTGGTATAACCTATCATCTTGTATAAGGTTTAGTATCATGTATATTCATTTACACTGTAGACAAGTGTTTCATAAAGTAACAACAAAACTTTATTTACAATACAAGTAACAATATTTCACGTGGTCTTGCTGCACTTGTTATCATTAGTTAAAGTTACAAATAATAATACTTTAAAACACTCCTTTCCTTGGAAGACTTTCAATTACCCCCACAGGACATTCTTAGTCCTACTCTGGGTACTTTTACCACCATTTCTTAACCAGCCTCTAAGGCTATCAATACCCCTTAGGATATTCTCTTTATTAACTCCCTTCCTTGGAGTTTTGTATGGGTATTAGGCCCCTCTCTTCTGGACCTTAACTCTCTTCGACTCTGGAACCTTCTCCACCAGATCCTCACTGTCTGGAATCCAAACCCTATCTGACTTCCAACTGTTCATAACAGAATTTTCCCCTTACAGCCCAACATTGTATTGACTGTTGCCAGCTCATCCTGATTGGTTGTCACCAAGGCTGGCTCTAACCTGCCTTCTCTCCACATTCTACAGTATGGAGGCAGCAGATGAAAAGGTCCTCTGGGCAACTGTTGCCAGTCTAGTCCTGGCTGGTTGGAGCAAACATTTTCCAGAGGACCTGAGTGTACAGAGCAGATTGTATGGGAGGTGATCCTGTAGGTAAAGTGGACCCAAACCATGTAGGGTTTTAAAGGTAATAACCAACACTTTGCACTTTGACCGGAAACTAATTGGCAGCCAGTGGAATGATTTTAAGATCGGTATGATGTGATCACTCCTGGATGTAGGAGTGTCATAGCTAGCTGCCATATTCTGAACCAGTTGAAGCTTCTGGACTTGGTACAAAGGTAGACCAAGGTAGAGCTCATTGCAGAAGTCTAGCCTTGAAGTTACCAGCACATGCACTACCATCTTTAGGTCCCCCTATTCTATGAAGAGGCACAGTTGGTGTATCAGCAGAAGCTGATAACAGGCACTTCTAACCATTACACCTATCTGTGCTGACATTTAGAGGGATGGATCCAAGTGCACTTCCAAACTGAAAGCACAGTCTTTCAGGTGGAGTGTAACCCCATCCAGAACTGGTTGATACACCTCCAGTCCCAGATTAGGACCCTTTATAGTAAAACGCCTCTGTCTGGTCTAGATTTAGTTTTAATCTGTTTTTCTTCATCAGCCCTTTACCTCTTCCAAGCATTCATTCAGAGGAGACACACTATCCTTAGCTGAACCAACCAAAAATCCACCAATGATACCTTTAGTTTTTGTGGCTTTTTTGGGGGGGGTATGTGGCTGTGTTCTGGCAGAATTTATCTCTGACGTTTCACCTGCATCTGTGGCTGGCATCTTCAGAGGTTGGTGGCATGGAAGTGACTGGTGTATATATACTGTGTGACCCTGGGTTGGGAGGAAGTGATTTACATGTTAATCTGTACTGGCCTGCTGTTGAATGGCAAGGCCTCATGGTGGAAAGATATGCAGGAGGATATGTATGTTTATTTAATTAGCAATCCATTGTCTGCTGGGAAAACCCCTGACCCTGAGTGATATTCATTTGCATGTGTTGAGTCTTGATTTTGGTGTTTTTCAGGACTGGTAGCCAAATTTTGCCATGCAATGACAGACCAACACACAGATTAACATGTAAATCACTTCCTCTCAACCAA